CTATTAGAAGGGGCCATTCAAATGGAGACGACCATTCTATTAGAGATAATAGGTATATTAATTTTGGGACGCATATATTTTGAAGGGACGCTTATACTATTTTTGGGACGCATATACTTTCATGGGACGCATAAACCTCCATGGGACGCATAAACTTCCATGGGACGCATAAAAGTTCATGGGACGCATGTCCTAAGATAGAGCTAAAAAAAGATTGTTTTATTTTTTAGATCGGAACCGTTTCTTATCTCGGAACCGTCTCTTATCGCTAAATGAAATAAATCATAAAATTTACATGAACTTTCCGCCTTTTCTTTTCCTTTTCCATTTTTTTCATCCTCTTGACAATATTTAACAATATTATCATAATCGTTCAATTCTTTTTCAATATCACTAGATAAATCTATATTCTTTAAATATAATTCAATCCCGCAATCGTTAACTTCACTTAGAAGGTTTTTAAAAGCATCTTGGTATATAGGAAATGAGACTTCATCTTTTATTTCCTCACTAGCATCCAAAAGGTATTCAAATTCTTCAAATGAAAGAACATCATTTGAATATGTATTTCCACGGGGTTTGCCTGTTGATTTATCTATTTTAGATGCACTTCTTATAACATAAAGACGCCGATGTTCAATTTCTGAAAAATAAAATCCTTACACTTTTATGATCGTTAGATTACATCCCAAAATTAAAACATAATTGTAAATGCTCAAAAAATCTGCGACTATATTCTTACGATTTTTGACATTTATTCTATCGGTTCCACGTTTCCAGTTCCGGAAATGGAACCGCACCATTTAAGGAACTGGATCTCCCGCATCACTTTAGTATCTTATGAAAAGTCCTATCATTTTTACCTTTATCAAATTCAGTTCTCGGCCAAATAAAATTTTCTTGTTGAAGTGAGTCGTAAATCAAATTGTCTTGTATTATTTTCGGTAATTCTGTTTTTTGATTAACAGCTTCATTTTCTTTTGAAACCCAAAATAATATCAAGAAAATTTTAATAAACAAAAATATTTTTGTTTTACTTTTCATTTATTCTTTTAGTAAAACAAGAGAATATTTAAATTTTGATGAAGGAATTTTTACATAAACAAAAAATGTTTTTTCATATAAACAATTTTTTTGAATTGAAAAATCTGAAGAAAATTATATCAAAACCAGCCTTAGAACGATTCAGCACTACCTCGATACTCTCAAAAGTACCGACTCGTTACCTCCGGAACCGCTAACAAGAATCAGTAAGTATCCTAATATAAAAATTAAAAAAACTGGTATCCTAATTAAAGATCATTAACAGCTAAATAGTTTTATTATTAAATTTAAGGCGGTTTTATTTAAAAACAAGAATGACAGTTGAGAAATATGTAAGTCTATTTAATTGACTTTTTTATTAAATAAACAATTTAAGTTTATTAAATGAAATTAAAATCGGGGAATTGAAAAAAATATAAATACAAGAAATTTTAAGGGGGGGGGGTGATGAAGTAAAATAATTTTTTTAATTGCTGATTGGCTGAGGGAAATGACACATGTAATAAAAGGTAAACAATTTTAAAATTTAGAGTGTTTACATAGTAAAAATTATAAGAGGAGAGAGTAAGTTAGGCTTAGAATGGAATTTTTTATTCGTGACAATCGGACGATTCGAATATTCGAATTTTAATATTTTTTACGAAGTTTGAATTCGAAATCAGCCTCAGCCAACATCTAATTATAGTCTAACAAATCCAAATAAAGAATATACTTTCCGTAGCACAACAAATTAAAACTTTTTTGCTTGAGAGCCGTAAAGCCTATTAATTCAAGCCATAATTAAATAAAAGGATAAGCCTCAAAATAAGAAACAAAAACTTCAAAATACGCTTTTCATAACAAGGGAAAGTTTTTTGGATTTCAGAAAGCCAAAAAACAAGAATTCCTCCTTCTAGCGTCACAAAATCAAATGTTTAAAAAATTCTAACTATAAATAACACCAAGAAAGTCTAAACGAAAATCGAAAGTAATAATCCTTCAAAATCGAAATTTCGAAACTGCGCTTAAGAAGGAATGATAGGATAGTAGGCAATATTATATAGGAGAGAGGGCATGAGAGATGAGAGATGCCAAGTGAGGAGAGGAGATGGGAATGCAAAGAGGCCTTGGCTTACCTTAATAAATTATTTCAAAATTTTTTATAGAGAAAAATAAAAGTTTATACATAATATAGAAAAGAATTAAACAAAACTTTCAGGAGACTTGTGTTTTTCCGTTAAATATTTAATTTTTTTAGAATACATGGCTGTCGAGATAATTTTTCTTCAGAAATTCACAATATTCGTTAACTAGCATTAATTATACATCATTTAGTTAATGCAATTTGATAAAAGTGCTGGTCAAAATATAGGAAAAACAATAAATTATCAAAATAATCACATATGAAACTCGTAAACATCGTCCGATTCTAATCCAGATGCTCAAGAGAGCTCAGGATATTCATATTCTCAAGATATTGAAGATTAAATAATATAATAAATATTTCTAAATAAAGCAGTTTGTTGAATTATACACTTTTTTGAATTTCATTGTAAGATGAAAGCAAAAATACAGGATAAAAGTCTTATGCATAAAGCTCTAAATTAGGTAGTGCGAAACTTGCGGACCGACTTTTGCGGACCATAAAATTAGGTTTTTGTTTTTCTATCGTAACTTTGTCCAAGCTTGTCCAAGTTTGATGTCATTCGACTCAGCTCGTCGAGCTCTTTCGAATGAGCTATGTTTTGAGAAATTCGACCGCAAGTTTCGGTCCGCAAAAGTCGGTCCGCAACTTTCGGCCTGTCCTAAATTAGAATCATTAATCGACTTTAAATAAAAAAGTGCAATTTCATAATATTCACATGAAATTATTATGACCGGAAAATTAAATTTAGCTACAAATTTATTTGTCTATTTAAGTTAAAAATTTCGAAACATTTTGCTAAAAATTTAAATAATTTATTTAAATAATTTAAGTTTAATAATATAGGTAATAACAATGTTTCAATATTTCGTTATCTTGCTTCAGCTATTAAATTCTATATTGTGTAAATGTTTCAATATAGTGTTAAATTAAAAACTATAATCAATTTTTTAAATTCTCGAATTAAATTGTCTAGACTTAAGAATTCCCTAAATAGCTACATATGCACTTTCCAAAAAATTTAAAAGCAAATCCCGACATTTTAATTGCTTTGATGTCTACTATATAAAACACGTATAGATTTGCGTAAAAAAGTCGGTAATTCACCTTTGAAAATGTATTAAAGTGCAAATATGTATATACATTTATTTAACATAAAAAGCAGTAAACAAATAAATATTATTTATTATTATTATTTATTAAAATAAAAATGAAGTAATTTTAATATAAAGGAATAATTGTATGTACATTTCTGTTTCTGCTCTTCTCCATAAATTAATGTTAAAAATTCCCTTTAACCTAATATAAAGTTGTTACTGAGTACCTATAATTAATCTATACACTGCGTTCCAAAAGTATATGCACCCCTAGTTTTTTGATTTTTTATAAATTTTTCTTTGATATTTTGATTAGACTTTTTGTCTATCTATTCTTCTAGGTAAATGTGTATTTTTAAACAAAGAAATAAAAATTTTCCCCATCACGTTTCATTTTTATACACATTTATGCTTTTTATACACATTTTTATAAAAATGTGTATAAAAATGTATATTTTGTATATTTGTATATAAAATGTATATTTTCCGTTGATTTTCGAGTCTTTAGATCTCGATGATAGAATGATGTTAGAAGTTCGTTTCTTTTGTATTTTTTTATCTATATTGATAGATATCTTTAGAGAAATTTTTTTGGATTTTTTGATTGCTAAATAAAAATTTTATGAGGGGGTGCATATACTTTTGGAACAGCGATTTTTTGCATAAATGTGTATAAAAATGAAACGTGATGGGGAAAATTTTTATTTCTTTGTTTAAACATACACATTTACCTAGAAGAATAGATAGACAAAAAGTCTAATCAAAATATCAAAGAAAAATTTATAAAAAATCAAAAAACTAGGGGTGCATATACTTTTGGAACGCAGTGTATAATGGTTATGGGATTATAATGGGCATATTTCAAATTTTAAAGTGAGGAAATTTCAAATTATTTTGTGGCAATAGGCAGGTCAGTGAAGGAAACTCGACAAGACTGATTATTAATATAAACCACATACCTAACATTGTATACTAGGTGTTGATATACTAGGTGTTAAGGATTTCAGAAACCAAAGTTTTTGTGACAAAAATATTTTTTTGGAAAAATTTAATTTTTTAAAGATTTATTGCTTTTATTAATACAAATTAAATTTAATTTATTCTTTAATGTATACTATTTCAAATATTTTTTTTTCATTTTTCATAATTATTTTACTTTATTTACTTAAAATTATTGCTACGGACCCTTGCGAGAATCCCTGTGAGGACAATCATCTTAAAATGGAATGTAAAGGAAGTAAGTTATTTTGAACTCTTGTTTAATCCGAAATGTAATCAAAATTGAAATTCTTCTATCATTTATTTTCAATGGAAAATTTTTGGCACTAGGCTGAAGTAAGTTGGCAACAATTGATGATCGACATCGACAAATCTTTTGTGTTTTGACAAAAAATTTAACAACTATCCTCAATTTTCAAGACAAAAATTAAAATAAAAAATGATTTTAAATCTTAATTTTTTAATTTTTAATTTCTTAAACTTCTATTTACGGTGTTGCTACAAAATATTCTTAAATATAATTTTTATTATCAAATTTTGTTGCTATATAAAATTCGTCTGGAAAATAGTATCTAATAATTTAAATTTCAGTTTATGAGGATAACAAGCAATTAGCACAACACTATCATAAAATTTTCTTTAATGAAAACGATAATGAATTCATAAGAAATAATTTAGCTATTGATATAATTTTATGGCATCGAAATATTGAGAATATATTAACTATTAAATCAGAATGGAATAAAAACACTCAAAAATCGAGGATTTGGTGTCTAGAAATTTGGAATAAAATGCAAAATGAATTTGATAGGAATTTTTGTCAATTATTTGATAAGGATGTTAATATAGAACAATTGGAGTTTAAAAACGCAAATTTTCCGTATTTCTTTATACGCTTTGTTAGCTCGATTAAAGAATTAAAAGGTAAAGAATTGGTGGAAAGAAATAAAAAAGCGAAAGGAAGCTCCTTCAAGGATTATTTGGAGGTTAAGTTGTAATATTGTAAATACCGTATTTACTCGATTAATTCCCCCGAGGAATTATTTTTTCAGCCCATGCGTGGCATGGGGAATTATTAGGGGGTGGGGAATTATTCGAGTTTTGAAATTTGAACGTGTATTAGGGTATTTGGGGGTGGGGAATTATTTTTTCAATTCACCCCTGGCATGGGGAATTGATAGGGGGTGGGGAATTATTCGAGGGTGGGGAATTAATCGAGTAAATACGGTAAACGTCTGGGTAAAATACCGGCACCATGTATACATCCCGAGCCTCGAAACGAGAATATAACTAATTAGTAGCAGGCAAACATGTTTATGGATGTCGCATGATGTATTTTTTATACATATTTTGCGGCATTGATATTATATGATTTTTTAAATCTATTATTTCTCATTTTATAAGATAAAATTTTTAGAAGAATCTATTGATGAATAAATTACACATTGTTATTTTCTAATTTAATTATTTTGAGTACATCAAACTAATTAATATTTTAAAACAAACTAAAATTTAAGAACAAATGGAAAAGTTTCAATGATGACTTGGACACAAAAATGCATGTGGTAGACGATAGTATAAATCTGTTAGATTGGATAGAGGAGATAAGATATATTACTTTTTCTCAATTGCTTCAAACTGGCGAGTTGGACAGTAGTTTTGTCACACAGTTTTTCCAAGGTTATTTTTATATTCATCCCCATATATATGAATAAATTTTACATCCTCAAAAACTACCTCAGACTGATTATTTTCTCTTAGTCCTATAACCTAAACTGGGAAAGAAACTTTTCGTAAAAAATACAAATGAGAAAATCCTTCTAACTATAAAATCCTATTCAATTTAAGAAAATATTTTCAAAATAAATAAATACATAATTAATTTCATTTTTAATTTAAAGAAAATGATGATAAGGAACAACAATTAAAATCAAGAATAGAAAAAATATTTGGAGCTAATAGTGTTCTTCAAATAAAAGTTGATCTAATAGTACATCGAAACAAATTATGGTACCAAGAAAAACTTAATGTAGAATCTGAGAGTGAAAACGAAAATAAAAAAGGTTACAAATAATTTTAAAAATTTTAATTTAAAGAAATTTTTAAGAAGAATTAAAGGAGGTAGACGAGATTATGAATGAAATGGGGATAATTGATAATGATAAAAATAGTATAAGTAAATTATCCATTAGCACTGCAAACAAACGAAGCAAAAAACAAAAGAAAAAGCAAAATAAAAACAAAAAGAGAATGGAATCCACTTCTGGGAATAAAATTGAAAAGACTAGGCAAAATATTGCAGATGAGGATTATAACAATGACAAAAATGTACAACTAAATAATGAAATATGTGAAAATTCTGAATTTTATAAAAATTTTAATGAAGATAACGTTGAAAATGATGAGGATAATGAAGGTTGGGTGCTGAATAAAAACGATGAAAAGAAACTGAGAAAGGAAGAGAGGAAGAAGATGGAAGAGGAGGAAAAGTTAAAACGGAATAAAAAATTGAAGGGAAAGGATATTGTGGATAAAACTTCATTTTCATTTAATAATATTAAGAAAATGAACTATAAAGAATATTATGATGCCGAAATGAAGAAGAAGAATATTTTGAATAATGAAAGTATAATTAACAATAAAATAAAAATAAATGAGGATTTGGAAAAAATAGACAACTCAAAGGAAATTAAAGATGAAAAACTTTTTGTAAATCCAGCAATCAGTTTCAAGGCAATTCTTGATAAAAAGGATTCGAGAAATGAATTGAGTGAGATTAATGAATTGAAGGAGGAAAATGAAGAAAGCAAGTGCGAAATGGAAGATAAAGTTAAAAATGCTGAAAAAGATGACAAAACTCTTGTTTCTTCAAACAAAATCGCCAATTCCTCAAAATTTTCTCCTTTTACTCCAATTAACTATTTAGAGAAGGATGCATTAGATGAAAGATACATGAGATTTATTTCAAGCAATGAAGATCATAGAAAGCTTATTCCTTCTTTGGACCTAGGAGTTATTGTTAATGAACTTAATAAACGTTTTAAACATTTTCAAAAAATTAGAATGAAGAATAACTGTCAGGATAATAATGTTAATTTGACTTTTGGAGAATTTCAAGGTACTGATTTAATATCCGCAGAAAATGTTCCCTTCTCAAATTCATTTAGAATAAATTTTACATTAAAGCTTTTAACCCTTTATTTTAATTGGTGAACTAGAAAAAATGGTATCTTGCTTCATAAATAGTAGAAATCGGAAATTTTGAAAATCCTGGACCTGTTCCTGGAATCTGGATTTTGATTTATTGACCTGGACTGGACCCTCGGCCTGAGGTCCAGGAAAAACCCACAGGAAAAACCCAGGAAGGTCAAAAATGCCTGGACCTTGACTCCTGGTACAAGAAGAAAAGGCCTTGGTTCCGACCCAGGCCGATCTCTACTTTATACAGGGTGACAAGAAAGTTCGGAGTTACACCTAATATTTTTAAATAATTTTATACTCATTTTATAGGCCATTCAATTCTCTATCATTTTACAAAATTAAGCCATATAATTTTCGATATAACAAAAATTATAGCCATAACCGTAAGGCATACCAAAATTTCCTCCACAAAATTTTACTTTCAGTATCTCAACGCTGAGAAGTCCGATTTGCGTGATTTTAAAAAAAATTTAATTTAGCATATTAGCAACCATGGTGAATTTTAAATATGAAACCTATAACTCTTACATGAAGGGCTGTGAGTAGATGTAATTCGGTTTTGGGGGGAAACGAATTTTTTGTTTAGGGTGGGTTATTCGTAAATAAATATCTCTCTAAACTCTTAGTTTAAAATTTTTTTGTTTTATAAGTTTTGAAGATCAGAGACCCCTCTAGCTTCCCTAAAAAATTCAAATCAATAACACAATCCGTAGCCAAGTTATACGTCTTCAACCACAAAAAGTGGTGCAAGTCTGAATCAAAAATCTTAAGACACAAGTTTGACCTTGTATCAACGCAGAAGGGTGGAATCTTTTGAACATATATTAAAATTTATTCCCTATTTAGTTCTCTATTTTATCATATTTATTTTATATCAGTAGAATATTTTTGAATGAAGTTATGTGAATAAATACTTCACTCTGAACTTTCTTGTCACTCTGTAGAACTTTCGGAGTTAATTCTATCCATTTTTGGAATAGAGCTTAAAGGACGTAAAGTATGCAAATTTTTATTAATCAAAAATAAAAATTATTTATTGAAGGAAAAGTTGACGAACAAAATGATAGTGATTGCTCTCTATTAAAGTTGGTCTTAAAATTGGAAAACAAATTTAATGAAATAAATGGAGACGCAAATTCCGTTGTAAATAATATGGAAAAATTAACAGAGCTGGAGAATAGATTCCACTCATTGTTAAAAGAATTATCAATGATTATGGATGACTGGAGAGATATACAAAAAGAAACCAATCGAGAATTAATAGAAGCAGAAATTAAAGCAGTTAAAATAAAGTTGCATAAGCAAAGGTAATTATCATATTATAAATAAACTTTAAAGAAATTTTAAAAATGTTGAAATTTTACTAAAAATGAATGTTAATATAGGGTTCAACCCCACCCCCGGGGAAAGTAATTTTCCGGGGAACGGGGGGAGGTCTCACTCCAGAGCACCTGTTCCCCATCACCGCAGTTGAAAAAAATTCAAAGGGGGGGGGCGAGGGGGGTTAATTAAAAACACCATTTCAGCTATAAATATATTTTTTAAAGGCTTGCAAATATAAATTCTAATCGCCAATGGAATTTAATGAAGCAAAAGAAACAAAAAAGAATATTATTTTCATTGCTAAATAATACAAATGTTAACGAATTTACTGATTATTTAAATAATTATGAAATTAAAAGGATGCAGAAAATGTTAATAAGTTAGTTGATTAATTTTTAAAAAATTCTAAAAATATTCTCTAAAAATTTAGCATCAACTCAAAATGTTTTAATAGATCTTCCAATTTTTGATGAATTGCCGTATATATACGCTCAGAAAGAATTTGCAAGAAATATTGTAAATTTAAAAATAGTAAAAGTTTTGTAGGAAAACCAGATTGTACTATAATTAAAGAAATTATAATTTCCAATGGATTCTTTTAATCTTTTTCGAAAAGATTAAGCGATTACATTTTGATTTTCATATAAGTTATGTAATTAGAAATGCAAGAACGTCAACTCTTTACGTATATCTTCAGAATCTCAAAACCTTATTCGGAAAACAGATTTAAGTTTTTCTGAGACACTGCCTGATAATTTCTTCGAGATTTTCGATTAATTATTCATTTTAAGTTTAATGAACGATCGACAGAAATTATTGATTCATCAATCGTTAAAGATAGATCTTCTCAAGAAATAGTAAAGATAGTTTCAATTATTTCAAAATGGGCTAAATCCAAAAATTGTCATCTGATTGAATTTTTATTGAGCGGCTCTCGAAAATTAAAGACAGAAACTATTGACTCGGATGTTGATGCTATTGTTGTATTGCATAAAAAGAAAAATGATAATTGTAAAATAAATGGAGTGAATAATTTTTACGGAAATCCAGATTTTGATTTATGCCAACCTTTTGTTGAACAGATAAAATGCAATGACAATTCGCTTTATTGTTATTTATGCAATGTAAAGTATTTTTTAGAGATTAATACATAAACTTCCGGCCTCCTTACGAGAGCCGCAAGTGGTTGGAAAACTATACCAAAATTTTTATTCGTAAATGTGTACGCGAATATGGGAAAAAATTACTCAAGTATCAGTACGTAAAATTTTAAAATTCCAAACACTAGCTTTACACTTTAAAGAGAATTTTTTGTTTTCCCCATCATGGATTATTGTAACACTTTTGAGATAATATAAAAATAAAGCTATATAGATTTTATTTCAAAAAATACTGTACTTTTAAATTAAAAGCTTGCCATAAATATACATATTTTAGCTTGGTTGTCGATTCTGGGAAAATCCCTAGATGACCGGAACCAAAACGAAAAATTCCCATTTCTTCAGTTCGGTCCAGAACCAATAACCCCACAAAAATGATCTAATTATAAAATTTAGAATTATTCAATCAAAAAGCTCCACAAAATTATGCATACTCGCATTAAAATAATAAAATTTAATACAAATGGAATTAATTTTGATATTTCATTCATAATAATTGATGAAATTCAGTCAGAAACGTTAAAAAATACTTTTCCATTAAATCGATTAAACAATCACGAATTTGAGGAAATAATAGAACATAAGAGACAAAAATCAAAAAAATTGTACAAACCCGAAGATTTATCTGGAATTGAAAGCGAAATATATTCTCTTGCTTCGTTTAATTCAAATAATATTATGTTGAAATTTATAGAAATGACTGGCAATGTGAATAAATTTCAATTATTTGCGAGGACGATTAAGAAATGGGCTAAAAGTAAGTTTAGTTTGTTAATTTTCTGGATAAGTTAAATAATAAATGTATATTATCGAACAGATAATAAAATATTGAAATTCAGAAAGGAAAATAAGAATAGATAAATATAAGAATAAGATTTTAATCCTCATCGGGTGTGTGTTAAAATTAGGGTTATTACTGACGGTTATTAACCGGTACACTCGGTTTCTTTTTATTCGCCAAGAACATTGGGTTTCGGTTCGTTTAACCGACATGAACACCCCTAGTCATCCGATAATATTTGTCATTCAAAAAGAATTTTTTAAATTCAAAATTAAAACAAAAATCACAAATGCTTGGTTGAGCACATTATTATTTTCCAGAAAAAGTAAGAATGTGATCAATTATTCATTTGTCCCACTATAACCTCTACCGAAAAGTTATTTATTTGTATTTCAGATCATTTCATCTATGACGGTCAATTTGGATTTTTAAATGGAGCAACATTGAATATACTTGTAATTAAAGTTTTATTGCTATATTTCGATTCATCTTTGCTTTATTTGTTGCAAAAATTTTTCCAAACATATATGGAATGGTTAGATAATTACTTACGTTAATTAAATATCGCTTAATATAAATTAATTTTAGGGATTGGCAAAATATTGTGAGTTTAGACGAATTATCAAATAAACCGCTTAGCTGGAGTTCTGATGAAGAACTTTATAAAAGAAAAGGATTATATCTCGGTAAAAAGTTTGGGGTATCAGAGAATGAAATGAAAAGATTAGAAAATCATGCAAATATAATAATGGTTGTGTTAACACCTGGTTATCCAAAACAAAATTGTTCTTTTAATGTTAATTATTCAACTAAACAAATAATTCAAAAAGAGTTGGAAATTGGTAAAATTTCTCGTGATGAATAATAGTTTTATAAATGAAAAATAAAGAGTAATTAGGGAAATTAGAGGTTGGACTCGCCGTGATAGAAACTTTTATTATCTGAGTTATCGGGGGTCAAGATTTTAGGGGCGATTTATATTATACGTTAACTGGATATGTCTAATAATGTTAACTTATTTCTCTCGATCTTCATAAAATAATTTAGGTAATAATATGCTAATAAATGCAAAAAATACGTACGAAAAAATGAGCTCAATTAATAATTGGAAGAAGTGGCTAAATGGAGTTAACTTCTTAGATGAGGTCAGAAATTAAACAAAAATATTTTTAAATATTTTTTATAGTATAAACATTATTTGTTAATTTTGTGCATTTCAAAACATTATAATTTGAAGGAAAATGTAAATTATTGTCATTATGTAGAGAGTCGAATTCGTTTAGAATTGGTGTTCTCAATAGAGGATGATAATTTGATTAAATATACTCATGCTTTTAGTAAAGAAAATTGGTTGCCAAATAAATTAAAACAAAAATATGGGTAAACATTATTTTAAATACTTTAGTTATTTTAAGTTTATTTTATGATGCGAACTTTAGGGCTGATAATGAGCGTTCGAAGATAAAAAATTAAATAGAGGGTCTTGGCTCAGATAAGAACATTAAGGTCGGAATCGTCTTGATGCCAGATTTCAGAGGTCTCAGTTTTTAACTACGTAAAGAGTATCTTGGTTGAGATTTTAAAATTTTTGCAATCGATTTCTATAAAAATTTAGATAGTAAAATAACAAAATAAATTGTTATTTATTAAAAATATTATTTTGCAGAGGACATATTATCCAACATTTGTGGATAGGAATTGAAAAATATGAACAAATAAACCAATTAGAAATCCATAACAGCAGTGAAGGAAATGTTTTAAAAAATTTTGCTGATAGAATTCAGGAAAGCATACCAAATGTTTTGAGGAAGTCTGAGGGATGGTTGGAGATGATTTACTACAATAAAGAGAACGATAAAAATATATTTAAAAATTACTGACAAAAAATAATCTTTAAATTAATTTTATAATAAATATGATTGGATTTTTAGTTGTAAAACCTTAAAATTTGTTCATAAAATTTTAAATATGCCAAAATAGTTGACAAAGATCTGGTCAGTGTTGTAGGCCAGTTAAAATTGTTTTTATTGTACAGAAATAATTCTTTGGTGAGAGAGATTAAAAGAAAATGCATAAAGTTTCGGTAATATTTTTTAAAGAAATTCACCGGTTTTACGTTGATATCGAATTGTCAAAATCTCAACTCAGACTACAGGATGAAATCCTAGACATAAAGCTATAAATTAAAAGCGCATTAATCGGCTTTAAATAAAGTGCAATTTCATAATATCCACATGTAATTATTATGACCGGAAAACTAATTTTAGCTACAAAACAATTTGTTTATTTATGTTAATTATTTCATAACCTGTTGCTAAAATTTAAATTAAATATTTAAATTTATGTATAATGAAATAATATTAAAAAACAATGTCCAATAATTGTGAAAAATATTATCAGTCTGTAAAGTTGAAAGGTATTTTATACATCTTTCTGTTCCCCAAATGATTGATATTGTTAATTTTGAGCAAATCCCAGCCTCTTGTATTCGTATAAAATTCAAATAGAAACAGATTATTAAATAGTTTTGCAAATAATTTTACACTAAGTAAATTTACTAGCTTGCACTTTTCGGCATTTTCTCTTTTTATTTTTAATTATTTCCCAATAAAAACAATTTCTCAATAGGTAAATATTTACGTCAGACATTATAAGAATTACCGACATTTAGCAAAAAATTATTTAATATTTCTTTATTTATTACCCGACATTTAAACAATAATTTTAGCTAAACATAAAATAAAAATGCAAAAAACTTTTATTTATTTTTTTATGTTTTTATTAACAAATTTTATAATAATTAATTATTCAATGCTATTAAATAAATCTAAATCTGTAGCTTTGGGCGATAGAAGCTTTACTGACTATGGAAAAATGAAAAATCGGGATTTTAAATTGAAGAACGATAAACACTGGCATTCTAAGAGTGCTTCGTTGTCTATTATTCCAGAAAGTAATTAAATTTAGAAAATTTAGAAAAATATTAAAAGTAATGTTAAGAGTTTGCTAACGATATTTAATGGCAAAAATAATATGAATAGAATTTTTTAAAAACTAAAAAAATTAAAGTTAGGTTCGAGACTATTTACTGGCTTTATTTAAGTAAATTTCTTATATTTTCGACTGGAGAGTGTTTAGAGTCGGATTCTTATCTCGAAAAACATCAATATTGATTCTTTTTCGAGTTCTTGTTTCAATTCGATCTATAGCTAAAATTCCTTGTTTTTTCCTCATTTTTTATAAAATTATGCTGTAAGAGACTAGCTATTAAGTATTGATAATATTTGAGGGTTTAATTCTATTTTCTATTAATACAGGTTCTTACAAAGATAGATTTCTGCAGACATCTATTGGAGCGTCTTCTAGCCATAACTTAAAGATAAAATCAGGTTTGATGACTAATGGTGAACACTTAAAATTATTTAATAAACCGACGTAAAAATTCCAATCCCTCTTTATTATGCCCCCAAGACATTCTAAGAGATTCGAATCTATGAAAACTAGACCTTAGATAAAGCATAATATTTATGTATAGGAAATTATCAAATTTAAATATTTCAGCTGCTCAGCAAAAGGATATAATTGAAAAAGTCAACAAGATTATAGAGCAAGGAAAATTTAGTAAAGAAGGTTAATGCAATTAAGTTTGTATATCTAAATTTAATTACTTTTAAGATTTTCCTCATATTTATTATACTGATCCACAATTGAAATATGAACAATATTATTATGGCAATACTGAGGCAACATTGAAAAAATATTCCAAAAATTACCAACAATTGATGTCTTGTATTGAATATTTTATGGATGCAGAACGTAATAAAACATTTTTGGAACTCATTGTAAAGATAAAATTTAGTGAAGGAAAAAATTTAATTAAAATTCATACTCTTGAATATGTTTTGAATCGTTGGGAAAAATTCTATAACATGTTGAAAATTTGGAATGATTTTGATATAATGGATGAGGTTACCAATTTCAATTTAAAATTATTTAAATAACTAACAGACAGTTTGTCTTCAGTGTTAAATTTTTAATAACGGGATAGGTTCACTTTATATATTTTGCTAATGCTAAGGCCATTGACTATCCCTGAAAAAGACATAAATTGGCTTGGCGATTTGAGAATATTAAATGTATGTAGATTCCGGTAATGATTCCGGTACTGATTAGAATCGATAAGGAACCGAAGAAACTCGACAAAGTTTGATGCAAGCCCGTGAAGGAGACACACTCCTTCTAACAACCATAAAATAAAATTAATAAAGTAAAATTTTAATCAGGAAAAACTGACAAAACAATTTATTAATCTTGAATCCATAATAAAATTGGGATATTTACGTTATATTTACTTGGATGAATTCTGCAAGAAAGTTGAAATAATTTACAATGAAAATGCTGAATTCAAAGATTATTTTGAACATTTTTGCATGCAAAATGTTAATAAAGTTTTGAAACCTTTAAAAAGTATAATTTCTTTTGATGATTAAATACATAAATTGATGAATTTTAAAATTAATTTTTGAGATTATTTGAAAGAATAAATGATGGATGGAGCATTCATTTATAAAAATGTTAAAAATATGTAGTTTCTAGTTTAAAAAAGTGATTGCTATTATGTAGATTTTTGTTATACCTACATATGTCTCCATCAACAAGCTTCATGCTTCCAATCAAATTTTTCAAATGCTTATAAACAAATTTTTTACAAATTTAATCATATTTTAAAGTAATTTGAAATCTTCGAAGTTTTTTGAAATCTTTTTTTTTCAAAGATTTCAAAGTTAAATAGTTAAGAAGTCACAAATGGCCTAGCATATCTTTTATCAGTATTATAATCGTATTGCTCCTTGATACATGCCGTGATACATGACTAATTCTATGATAATAACTATGTAACGAGACATCATAATCTTTGTCCATTATCTTGTTATCCTTTTCACACCCTTATTTATTTAATTAATGTTTGATTGGATGCATAAAAATTCTAATTAATTATTTATAAAATCTAAATTTTTATTAAATTTCATACATATTAGTAAATTATGTAGTAATAAAAAATTTTTGGATTAATTAAACTAATACATATTTATTCTCTTTTCTCTCATGAATCATTTTACTATAAAATTTTTGATCAGTTATTCGATATAACTAAATAAATTTTTTTAGTTTTTAATAATTCTATATTTGTTTTTTATTCCTATTAACTAAAATCGAGGTTTCTTGATTAAAGCTGACACGAAAAACCAAAACTTTTGATGATATGTAAGTGATTCTTAAAAGAATACATACATAACCCAAAATAAAACCGGTATTTTACAAAAACTCAAACCTGAAAAGCACATTTGGAGTAACTGAAAAATATACCTCATAGCAAGCACTTATATAAAACTGACAAGATTGCGTGATACCGCGTTCAGGAGAATTTATATTATAATTAATCACGAAATTTAAAAAATTGTGTTGAAAAGTAAAATTCTTTCCTCCCAATCCCTCACCGGTTATTGAAATGGATACAAATAATTAAACATTAAATAATTTAGAGTAACTACATTTTATATTTTTCTATTAGATTTAATATTTACTTAGCTTTTCTAAGAATAATACATATAATGTTAGTTGTAAAATATATTATTATTGTATTTATATTTATATTGTGTATTCAATCTTCATTGGAAGGTAGGCAAAATAAATATATTAATAAATAATTTTAAATTAATAAATTTAAAAAGATTCACTCAATCATATGATAGAAGTGAGCATTAAAGATTTGCATATTTGTCAATTCGAAACGGTTGTAAATAAGGAAATATTAAACACAAAAAATTTTTATGAAGTTTTAAATATTTCGGTCGAGACTGGGAAAAAATGCTTCGGAAAAGCTAATGAATTAAAAAATATGACAAAAAATATCTGCAATTTCACAAAATATGATAACCATACCGACGAGATTCTCTATAATAATGGATCTGAAATAGGTCTGTATGAAGTGTATGGAGAAGCTAAAGTGCAGAGGTAAAGAATTTGATTTAACAAAAATTTCTTTTATTAATGAGTTAGTTGCAGCTTGAGTAAATTTTGAACCTAATTATTAGGGTAGGACGAGACCGTTTAATTCGAGGTTTATTTTTCGCTGTGGCAGACTTTTTCCTTCTCTCTTCTCTTTTTGACCCGCCACAGGGAACAATAATCGAGGTTTCTAAACGGTCTCGTCCTACCCTACTAATTATTCTTAAAGGTTGTGATACTTTATGATACTCGTCTCTACAGTATGTCCCATAATGATACGTCCACCCTAATTTTTATCTATTTTGTGTCAATAACATACAAAAATCGGTAAAAATTAGTGTGGACGTATCATATTGGACACTGAATCTTTAGGAATGAGTGCTAGGCCAATTTCATTTCACCATTAATTAATATCATAATATCCTTGAATAAAAAAATTAAAAAAAGAGCCAAGCAAAATTCTTGAAGTTTTTGAGTGTAAGATTGGAATAATTTTCAAAATTTGTAAAAAAGTTTGTATAATTCTGTGATAACTTTCAATTTAAACCTTCCCCCTAATTAACCCTACTAATAAAAGAGAGGTTTGTGTTTCGTGACTTTGATTTCTAAAGTTATCAATCCATGTATTAATCTGGCATATTCTTAATTTTTTAAACAAAAACTATGAATTATAAAATTAACTTTAATTCCAGTTTGTTAACTCATCTAATTTTTAAAGGTTATTCTTAGAGATAAAAAGCTTATAAACGATGGGGCTAATGAAATGCAAAGACAACTTTTAGATTTATCATCTAATGGCTTTTATTTCCGAAAATAATTAGTAGTCGGGAAATCCAGATATTTATTTCGGAACACAAGTGGTTTTGTTTTGAGTGGTGTACGTTATCTACGTGCTTATTATTGCGTTCAGGTATATTGTAAAGGGTGAAACGTGTTGTTGATATGCAAATATTTTTTAGAAATTAGCCAAAATGATCCAAGATAAATACAGACAACAAAGTTCTGATACAACTTCATATGTTAATTATACAATCACAGGAGTTTGGATTGGAAGTGAGGTAAAAAAATATAAAATATTTTTTCATTAGCCTCACCTGTTAATTAATGATGGATGATAACATTTAAAGGAAATTGTGGATGCTATGAAAAGAGTTGTATCTCTCAAGAATAATCTCTTAAATTATCGCTCGATTAAAGAATTGAATGATAAGAGAAAAAATACATATAACAGATGGGATAGAAAAAGTGGCGACTTTGGAAAATGTTGCAAATAAATATGGAAGGGGTAATTTAAACTTTAATCTTTTAATATTGCCCTAAAAATATCTTTTAAAATACAATTTGACTAAAAGTTACGAAAAATATTTTGAATTTTTGTTAGGCTCATCAATGGCATTGGTGGGATATTTTGCTTTGAATAAAAATCAATTTAATGACAGATATAGCAAGTGTAATAGAAACGGGGAACAATGTATCTCTTTCTTTCATATCAGTGCACACAATGATACTAGGTAAAAATATTATTAATTGTTAATTATTTAAGTTGGGTGATTTACATTTTAATTTTTGGATGATTTAAATTTTAAGATGATAGATCACATAACACAATTGCTAAATTTTTATATATTATTTTTTAGAAAATTTATTGAAAAAAAGGAAAATTAGTAAACCGAGGAAAAATTCCTAATCGCTACTAAAATTAATTTTTCCAAATTAAATACCTATGTATTTTTAATAAAGCAAAGATTAAATATAATTAAACTTTATGATTAGGATCTTTGAATTCAGAATTGTATATTAAACTAAATTTATATTTAGATTTGGAATATTAGACGATGATCTTGATCAAGAAAAATTAAAAGAATATTAGTTTATATTTATTAATGAATGTATAATTTTAAAAATTTTAGTAAAATATAATTACTTTTACAACAAGTTATAAAATTGGAATAGTTTTGGTTTAAAAAATAAATTTTGTGTATAATCGGTGGTGAATTAGGGGTTCAGCTGTTTTCCGAAAAACATCCATTCCAAATTTCAGTCGGGAACATATTTTATGCCAGTACTATCCATGGTTATATAAAACAAATTTGAACAGTTTTAAATATTTATTATAAATATTTAACAATATTAATTAATTTATTCCTTTAATATAGAAATAAATAATACATTTATTATCTCCACTACATCTGTTAAATTCTTTTTGATTTTTAAATTTGTCGAAAACAATGTAGCCAAAAATTGCCATTGAAGAACTTCCTTTCTCTTAGAAAAATAAATTTTTTTTTTTAAATTATCTTTCTCTCATTTTTGTAGATGGGGAGTAGAGATGGGTCAGAATTCTGATTTCCGGCTTTTTTTCCTTCCGATTTCCGAAATATAATTTTGATTTCCGAGTTCCGACTTTTGAGCCACTTCCAATTTCCGGCTCTCCCGATTTCCGACACCTCTGACTGTTCCGACACACTTCTGATGGGTAGGATCTCTAGCTAAGATCTCTAGCCTCTTTACTAATTGGGAAACATACCTCCATTCAAACTTTCCAACTTTGCGACATTTAATATTCCATTAAAAATATCCTCTCTGAAAGTACTATTTAATGATTTATCTTTAATAAGCATATTCTTAGAGCGTGTCACATTTTTCATGCTTTCTTTAATTTTGGGCTTAAATTAAAAATTTTTATCTGATTTATAATTCATTATGTTGTTTACATCATTTCGAATCCAGATTCCAGCAATTGTATAATTTATAGAAGCTTCTCTCGTTTTAGGCTCACTTTGGTATATTTTAAGCATATTAAGAGTGAGCTTCTATTTAAGAATAAGAAAAACAAATAATACTTTGTTAATATAGCCATACCTTAATACAATAAATTGCCCTGGCATATCTCACTTCGCGGGAAATAAATCCACTCGTTTTTATGAAATGATTTTTATTTCTTTGAAATAATTTGCGAAATACTGCTCCATTTTTAGTAGCTTCCAAAAGTTGGTTGTATAATTCATTGTTACCTTCCATAATAAGGTCTTCGTTGAAGAGGAATTCCTGTAATACTAGTTAAATACTGCGAGTAAAACCTTCTAGCGAGATTATTGAACCTTTATAGACTGGAACTAATATTGGTAGCCAGGAACCAATTTAGTCAGGAAAGATATGATCAAAAGCTTTATCCGAAGACAAAAAATATCAAATTTTAATGAAATATTTTTTATTTAGGTATTTTAAATTTATAATTAGAGCTCTGACCGAAACGGAATCCAATTTCAGGTCAACGATTTAATCGACCTTTGAGTCTTTTAATAATTTAACTTACAGAAGCTACATTATTTTTATTTCGATCCATTTCATATAGACCTAATTCTAATCCGTTCATCTCTAAATTTTCTTTCGTGTTTTTAAATTTTTTAACAATACAATCATCATTTATTTTTAAACATTTATTTATTTCATATTTCGCTTCTTCTATAGCATATTCAAGTTCAATTTCTTCCATGTCTTGATTTTTGTTTTGCAGTTCTATTTTTTCGATTTCACATAATTTATTTAGTTCTTCTCTTGATATTTTAAAAACCTCGTCTAGATGACGTACTAAATTAAGGATTTCTTCTATTTAAAGGAATATTAGTCTCAATACTTACTACACCTGTTGACTTTTTATATCCCGGAGTTATACAGCAACTCAAAAATTTTATTAAAGGAGTCAATATAGTTAAGCTAATAAGGAAAGGCATTGGCTAAGAAGAGCTATTTAGATTCTAAGTAAATATGAACAGTCGAGTACTTAGTGATGTAAATTCCTCTCGAAATGAAAGTCAATTATTAAATAATTTGATTTAACTAACTACCTTTAACCAAATTAACTTCCTCCAGTCTTTCATCATTTCTTTCTGCCTGCAATTCTTCCTCGTAAATCTCCATATTTGATTCATTGATCTCTTGACTGATTAAATTATTTTTTAAAAATTATATATACAGTTGGGTTCTTTTATTTTATCTTACTAAAAGCCCGTAAAATATATCCGTTAACAAAAATTGAATATAATACAATTTACTTTATTCATAAATCGCTTTAAATTTTCTCCGTTATTTAAAAAATTTTCCAAATTTTGCCAAAATTTAAAAAATTAAAAATCTTTACTTGTAAACAATTTCCTCAATTCTCTTTGTAAAATTTTTTGCCACAAAAAAAGTTTGGCTATCTATTTCATCTGTCTCATTATAATAATCATAATAATCAGTCATTGTCCCGTTTTCATATTCTATATCAGGGTATAAAATTTGGAACTCAGTAATATTTTTGCTAGCAATTTTTTCAAAACTTCCTGTAATGTTTACTTTTTCCTTAAAAATAATAAAAGTATTCAATGCGTTATTTCGACCCGATCACAAAAATACCTCTCTAATCTTGTTTTTAGTTTGGGTTCTGTTTTCATGCAATTTTGTTGCTGGCTTTTTAGTTGTAGTAATTGAAGCCTTAATTAAAGTTTGGTAATATTAAAAGTTGTTTCAATTTATTTCAAAATATTTTTTTAAATATTTGGAATTATTATAGACAAAATCAGATTACTAAATTATTTTAGTTTTATCTCGTTAATACACCCCCCTCACTTTTCAAATTTATTCAAATATAGAGTCGAATTAGACCCAGCTAATTCTTGGTTGAGTAAAGACAAACTATGATTAATAATGTATTTATGCCGGCTTTCCTCGCCTTCTTATGGCGATAATAAACCGATTTTTAAATTAAATTCTCTTAACAAAATCAAAGTTTTAACACTTTATCTTCGTTTACCTACATTTGAACTCATTCTAACAGTTATATTCACCATTCTATCAGATTGTTGTGTTTTCTTTAAAGTTTTATTTAAATTCATCTTTTTATTATTAGCAATAATTGTTTTATTTTTTATTCCAGGTTGAATTGTATTTTTTGTAATAGTACTTATATTAAGCTTTTGTTTGTTAGTCAAAGTTTTATTAGAAGTTTCGAAACTTTCTTTTGGCTTTTTTGTTGTATTAAATAACAAAATTTTTGTTCGTTTTTGAGGTCTAAACTTTTTTATAGTTTTGGTGATATTTGTTGTTGTTGTTATATTTTTAGTTGCCAAGATACTTATCTTACCTTCAATCTTTATTAAACAATTTAGCATGTAAATAATTGCTAATTGAATTAATACAAACGAATAAAAATTCATTTTACTTGAATAAATAATTTTTAAATATTTCCTAATTCTATATTTAACACTGCATATAAAATAAAAAAACTCCAATATTGGAACTAAACGCTTAAAATATATACTAGTTATATTAATCTATGAATCACACTATTAGTATAAATTTTTAAATTATTAACTTTATTGTAAATATTTTTAATTAATTTCAATAAATTTCCTATTTTATTTCCTCTTTCTTGGTTACTAAATAACTAAAAATGGGCAGACTTACCTAAAACTTAAAAAGAAATAAAACTTAAATAAAATAACTGTATTTCTATTTCTAGATTTCAATAAATTAATGGAAAATTAAAGCATGAATATTTTAAATATATTGGATTAAATATCTGTAACTTTTATATTTCTGTTGAATGTTAGTCAAATTTTGTTTTTAAGTTTTATATTTCAAAAAAAACAAAATATTGCGAAAACTTCATCGCAAAGCAAGAAACTGCCATTTATGGACTATTTGCCCCTCACAAATGATCCATTAACAAAAACAGGGTTCTAATTAAATTCACTTTTAATTAAATAATAATTAAATTATTTAAGTGTTTAACTCTCAAACTATTAGCCTAGTGATAGTAGTAATGAAAGGGAAAAATTTTGAGTTTGGAGACGGGGTCGGAAAATGACCATAGCGGTAAGAATCAAGGGTCCGCACATGTCATAATAATTTCTAATGTAAAACTTTTACAATTTCTATTTTAATTTAAAAATATATATTAATTATTGAATTAAATTTTATCAGTCAATTTTCGTCGCGAGTTGTCCGCGCATTTAAATTTATTTATTGCCTGTTAATTGATTTTAAATCTATGTAGCTTTGTCGACGAGGCTTATTAACGTTAATAAAATTATTTATTTTAAATTTAATTTAATATAATATAGAAATTCACTTTTAAAGCTTTATTTCATGTAATTAAGCATTATTTTCAGGGAAGGCAGATTATTTAGTTTCGCAATTTGTTTATGCATAAACTTTTTAAAAGTTTATGAAAATTGAAACATTATAAAATTTATAAAAACATAAGTGAGATTAAATGAGTTTTTAATAAAAAAGACCAATTAAATCTTCGGCTTATCGCCGTTTTACAGATATCGGATTCGGATATCAGAAGAGTTCCCGGAATCCCTAACCTTAATTAACTAAACAAAAATCTAATTATTATACAACAGGCTAGATATATTTAAAATAAATTATTAGATTTAGCTGGTTAATAGAAACGGCAGTTCAACTAGAGCGCGACGCTTTATTTACCGATTTTCTCACAAAGGGAAGCTTTATTGTTTTGGCCTTTCTAAACGATACGGGGTCTCAAAACGGTCTTGCTATTATTTGATACCATAAAATTGTTTAAATGTTAAAGATTTTTGTTAATGCTGAGGCGTTCTAGCATGAAAACAAAATTGACGCCGAACCTGCCCCTCATTGCATAAGACAATAATTTCATATTTTTTAATCATAAACAAATGTCTTTGTAAATATTTTGAAAATTCTTTTGAAATCGCCTAGTCGATTCTTTTTCTTAATAGTTAAGAAATCTAATATTTTTAGTTTGTTTATTTTATAATTAATAAAGTGCGTTATCCTCCATTCAAAGGCATGCACTTTGCCTTTTTTTAAATTTATCAGCCCCTTAATTATAAAAATAAATAAAAATATATGTGAATTGTCTATTTTTTTAACTTTAAAATATTTTTTATATTAATTTCAAAATAAGAAAAAATTTTTAAATTTATGTCGTGCCATTTCACTTTTCAGTGCCGCTTCTTACTATATATCGGACAAAACAAATATTTGGTCAATAATTTGCTCCTAAACTAATATTTGGTCAAATAAAATCAAATATTTGTTCAAATTTTATTTGATTTTAGTTGACCACATATTTGACTTTTTTGATTAAATTTTTCCAAATATCAAATAATTTTCAAATTATTTGATCAAATATTTGATTTTGCCGTTTATCCGACCTCTAATTCTCATTTCACATTATTTCTTCACTTCTTTTTTTTCGAAATTTTGAAAATTTATAATGCTAAAGGAGCCAGTTTTTTGCTCCACAAACTAAAATTTTTAGAAATTTACAAATCCAATAAGCCACAATCCCTTATTTAAAAAATATAAACATTTTTAAAAACACAATTTTATGCGCGGAATTTGTTATAACATTTCCAACTTTTATTTACTAATTATTTAATATTAAAATAGTAAACAAATAAATGAAGATATAAACCAGTAAAACATATTAAAAATGTATTTTGTTATATTAAATTTTGTATTTTTATACTATTTATATGATGATGTTGAAAGCATGCAAGGAGATCATAATTACATTGAGCCATCTCCGAAACGACATAAAATAACCGATATATCTGGCAATAAAAAACCAGGTATTTTTTGTATAATTTCCAAGTTAAATTACAGTACATGAATAACATTAAAGATTCTATGACTAAAATATGCGGAGCATTTTTCCGATTGTATTGGCATAATGAGTAATAACTTTAAATAATAAAATGTTGGCTACATTTGGCTACTATAAATCTTTAGATAATCTTATCACAGTTTTGCATAAAAGCTTAGGTTCTGCATTGTCAGAAAATATTTAAATTTATAAACATTATGTTTTAACGGTAAATGTCCAGAAAAGTTCGTGAGATTTACGAATTTACATATAAAAATTTTTGCGTAATATATGACAAAAAACAGGGATTTGAGGTATCGGTGGAAATATTTAAATATTTAGTTTTAACATTGGACGAAGCATCAAACATAATCAAAACAATCTATGAATTTAATGCATATACAAATTTTGAGGCTTTAAT